CAAGTGAGTGCAGATGTCAAGAACACCATGTTGAAAGGGAGCTGTGGAACCACAAGAACCACCAGACCTTCAGCAGACAAGCCACAGAATGCACGATCGGTGATGGACAGTGATCTTCAAGTGTTTAGCGAAGCAGTAGAGTGAGCCAACACAGGTTCACCCACCCCCTGCCCTGCAGCAGATTCAAAATTCTGTGTCACCCTACCCCACCTCTCTCTCCATCCTCACATTCCTTTTCCCTCTCTCGGAGTCCTCATTCTCCCATGCACTATGCCTCTCCCAACTTTGATTATGATACTTGGACATTTGTGATGTGTTACTCTTTGCTGCACCTTCCTCTTCACCTCTTGGGGGTATTTTATTACATTTCAGCACACTGTTCTCTGATGAATAAAGACACACTTTTATATTGATCCCACTTTTTTATTTACTGTTTAATGTCACAGACCAGTCGATGTGAGCCCAGGTGCAGGCATAAAGGCATGTTCCTGTCGATGGGAGGGACAGGTTGTGTTGTGTTGAAGCAACTGTAACAGAACTTTATTTCAGGGCCCCTCATTTTCAAAATACACCCTCAAAGCCTCTCTGATGTTAACAGAAGCCCTTTGAGCTCCTCTGAGAGCTCTAGTGTCTCACTGTTCATATTCTGCAGCCAAACCTAAGCAGACAATTCTCCCTTACTTACTTTTACACAAAATGCAAGATGCAATAAGCCACAATAGCCATGGGACTTTAGTGAGGTCTAGCCTGCCATACAGACACCGTCATCTTGTTTTCAATCTCCCAAAGGCGCATTCAACCACTATGCAGTTGACCTGCTAAGCCTGTTGTTAAAACACTTATTACTGCTGTCCAGGTACCCCGTGTATGGTTTCATGAGCCAGGACTGCAAGGAGTTTCAGCAGGGTCTCTCAGGACTTCCACATTCCCCACTGTAAACTTGTGATCTGTAAAGAGAATCCCTGCCTGCAGCTAGCTTTCTATACAGGCCTGTGTTCCTGAATACATGTGCATCATGCATCTTTCCAGACCACCCCGCACTGATGTCTGTGAAATGCCCATGGTGATCCACAAGTGCCTGTGACACCATCAAGAAGTGCCCCTTCCTATGTACCTGATGGCAAGGTGGGCTGGCATTAAAATTGGAATGTGTGCGTCACCTATTGCCTCCCGCACCCCAGCTGGGAAATCCCATGTCTATAAAGCCAGTCCCTATGTCAGGCGTGGGGAACCTCAGGCCCACGGGCCAGATGCAGGCTTGTG